TACATTGGATTTATACGACGGTAGCTGGACCTATTCTCACCTATGGCGTGCTGGTATGGTGGCAGGCGGTTGATACCAAATCCCATCTACTCAACTTGCAAAAGGTGCAACGACAAGCATGCCTTTGCTCAACGGTCGCGATTTATTCAACGCCCAAGGTGTCGCTAGAGACCCTGCTGGATATTTCAGCCATAGACCTATATGTTAAAAGTATCGCAGTTAAAAACGCTCTACGACTCAGTGCGTTTAAGAGGCTGCGTACAGCAACTGTTAGTATGAGGTCACGGAAATTGGCCTCAGTAAAAACTTCGAGATCCATTTTGCTGACAGAAGTGGCTGGGAATTTAAAATTGTTCTCATCGATGACGAAATACCTATCTTTAAGGACGGCTTAAAAATGGATATCGGAACAGGATCTCGTATCTTCTCTCAGGAGTTATCTCTGAGAGAGTCCTATAGACTCTCAGATTACTGCAATGTTTTTTAGGCTGAGATATATGCAATCCATATGGCGGCAAGGTTGACTTAACCTCATCTAAACTTGCCTTCGTTGTTGACAGTCAGGCGGCTATCAAAGCCTCAGGGTCGGCAACGACTAACTCGATATGCGTTAAAGAATGCCAAAGACCCCCACAAGCTCGGCAGCAACACATAATCAATCTTTACTGGGGGAAATGAGGAAGCACACGAAAGTCCTAGGAAGGGATCTGAGATAGGGCTCGCGGAAGCTATCCAAATCGTGAAACCTCCCCTGCGGTTTCTGTCTTCAGAAGTCCAGAGACTGACTAGGGCAGCTACCAACGGTAGGTGGGAAAATCTGCAACCTGCAGGGTATCGCGATCGCTCTGGTCACGGCTCGATTAACAAAGAATAAGGAGTCTATTAAGGCTTTCAAAGTCGAACGTTAGGCTTCTCACAGGAATACTAACGGGACACAGGACCATCGGCCGCATGGCTGCCAGGTTTGGATCCCCGAATAACGATTTCTGTAGAAGCTGCAGGGATGAGGAATTAGAATCCGTCCAAAACTGGGCATTCGCAATGGGGCCAGCACTTCGAGGAAAACGCCTCAAGTTTCTTGGGGACCATTTCTTCGAAAACCTTGATATCTTGGGAAAGCTTATCTGGAAGGACTGCTTGGATTCACCATAAAATCGAAATGGTTCGAAGACATGTAGGGATAGGCTTGCGGTAATGACCCATGGGCCTTCGCGGACTTCGAGTCAACTCTTTGCAGAGCTGCACGTTTAACCAAACCTAACTTTAGCTGGTATCCAGCCGGATATCCGGATAACAGGAAAACGGCAGAATAAGCCGGATTACGGATATGAACCGGATGTGTCGGGTATCCATATTAGCAATGCTGCGCCTAAAGGATCCAGAAGTTTCCATTATCAAGTTATATACCTAAAGACAGTACGAAGAGGATTTGCTTTAAATTAAATTGATCTTAGTACGAATGAAAATTCCAACGACGGATTTCAAGTATTATTCTATTCAATATAAGAGTTTTAAATTCAATTGAATTTAATACTAAAAATATGAAAATGAAATTATATATATATTAAAAAACTAAAAACTGGCTTTTATTACAATGTGAACTAAAAAGTAAAAAAATAATTTATAGGTATACAGATTTCGTTTAAGAGGAATAGGAAGTTCCCTATCTTGATTTAATTAAACTTTTAAAACCAAACTAAGCAAGAACAATTTTGAAAAAATGGTAGAAGTGATAGCTATTCGCCTAGTAAATTCTTGTTGATTTTTTCCACATTTTCATTTGTGAAGCCAACTACAATCAATCGCAGATATTCCAGTGCTATTTAAACTTGGTCACGTGGTTGCTGGTTTTTGTTAATAATTCTAGTTTTAGAGTGTTTAGCTTTTAGGAGTGCTCGTCCTTAAGTTATTTGTTTTTGCTATTTTATGGCCTTATAGCAATTATATTCCACTATTTTTATTGAGCTTGAGGGAATTTTCAATGAAAAACTATTGTGGAAAAGCAACAATAATTTGAAAAAATGGTAGAAGTGATAGCTGTTTCAGAAATCACCACATTTCCTCATCAGACTTCTTTCAGGAGAATTCGTACCGACGATCCCACCAGCCAGTTGCCTTCGCACTGTGCTAAGTTCACCTTGTGAATTCCTGTTGCTTTTTCCCACTATTATGAGGTTGTTGATTTTGCTGGTTTTCGTTAACATTTCTATTATTAAAATGTTTAACTTATAGGTGTGCCAGTCCTTAAGTTATTTGTTTTTGATATTTTATGGCCTTAGAACAATTATTTTCAACAATTTTTATTGAGCTTGAGGTAATTTTCAATGAAAAACTATTGTGGAAAAGCTACAATAATTTTGAAAAAATGGTATTAGAAGTGAAAGCTATTTCGGAAACCACCTCATTTCCTCATCAGACTTCCTTCAGTAGTATTCGAACCGACGGTCCCACAGACTTAGCCAGTTGCCTACGCACCGTGCTATGTTTGCATTGTAAATTCTTGTTGCTTTAATGAAAATTTCTTTGTCAATGAAAAGATATTGTGGAGAAGCATGAAAACGGCCTGAAGCTCAATAAAAATTGTTGAGTATAATTTTTATAATGCCATAAAATAACTTAAGAACGAGCAGACGTAAAATTAAGCATTCTAAATATAGAATTATTAAGAAAAACCAACAGCCACATGATCAAGTTTAAATAGCACTGGAATAGCTGCACTTGATTGTAGTTGGCTTCATAAATGAAAAAGTGGAAAAAGCAACAAAAATTTACAAGGCGGCCTTAGTACGGTGCGTAGGCAACTGGTTGAGTCGGCTGGGGTCGTTGGACCGAATCCCACTGAAAGAAGTCTGATGAGGAAATGTGGTGATTTCCGAAATAGCTATCACTTCTACCATTTTTGTTTTAATTACGACAGTCAAAATCGGGATGGGATGAAATCAACGGGAAATATTATATCGGTCAAAAACAAGTTATACGTAGCCCGGCGTTTCGCTGGGTCACGTCTAGGAAATATATATATATCTAGGGGAAATTGTCACCTTTGGTGGTTTTTTTTTGACATAACTCGAGAACCACTAGTCCGATTTTTCTCAAACAAATTTAAAAAAATTAAAAATTACAATTCCTTTAATCTGTTAATATAACGTTTTTCTATATACTCAACAGTTTTGCCGGTAAAAATAAATGTATGAAGAAAAAAAATTATTTTTGCCTAATTTATTTTTACCGGCAAAACTGTTGTTTATATAGAAAAACGTTATATGAACAGATTAAAGGAATTGTAATTTTTAATTTTTTTAAATTTTTTTGAGTAAAATCTGACTAGTGGTTCTCGAGTTATGTAAAAAAAAAGACAAAAAGGTGAAAATTTCCCCTATATGATAGTTGCTAACTTCAAATCGATATATCTCGATTCCTAGACGTGACCCAGCGAAACGCCGGGACACGTATAACTTCTTTTTTACCGATATAACTTTCCCCGGTAGTTTGAACCCTTCCCGATCACTGACCCCTAACATTTTTCTCACAGTGTTATTTTTGTTTTCCTACAATAGTTTTTTATTGAAAATAGCTTGCATCTCAATAAAATTTGTATAGTATTATTTATAAGTTAAGTATTTAGTTATAAGGCCATAAGATAGCAAAACGAAATTAGTTTTACCGGAAAACCAAGCGTGGGAGCGTTCTTAGATTTTAAAGTCCTGCGATTGGCAGTATTCAATACTACTAAACCGAAAATGAAAAGTTCAAAACAATTGATATCAATATTTTATGCTTTATAGTTCACATTGTAATAAAAGTGAGTTTTTAATTTTTTAAACTGTAAAGACTGCAAGGTGCTTGCGTTTTTTATAATTAATTTATTTCGATTGCTTAGACTAGAAACGTAACCTACTGACGCGTATATCAGCGCAGTGGATGAACGACTAGCTGCGAAGTGCTTAATGTCAGTGTGTCGAACTTCACAATAGAGCCGCTCTCTTCGTTAAGTTTGGTTTAGTTTTCGTTACGCCGTTCAACCCATCACATAAACAATAATTTTACTCATTCCCTAATAAGCAATTTTTTGTTTTATAATACATATGTATTTAATATTTTATTTAATACTTAATAAACAAAAGATGCAGAGAATTGTAATAAATAAAATATATTACAATTTATTTGAAGGATAATACATAGCTTTGGGAATGAGACTAAAATTAAAAGTTTTTATTTCGTTTGTGGGGAATTTGAAAATTTTAGTGGGGATTTGTAGGAAATTGGATTTTTTTCTGGGTAATTAAACGAATTTAGAACTGCAACGCTGCTTCTGTGGACTTTCCTTGAAGTATCTGAATTTGTATTCGAGTAATCGTACGCCCAGATGGACCGACGAACAAGGCTTAATAGAATAATCCGTAATTCTTTATGAAAATAATGATACTTATCATACCTTTGCTTTCGGTTACAAAAAGCAAGACTTTTTAGAGCAATGTCAGTTACAAATAGATTTTTATATCATTTTTATTTTTATTTCTGGGGAAATGCCCATTTATCGGTCCTTAGTTACTTGGAATGGCGCCCGCTCTGGTCTAGTGGTTAGCAGTACGCGCTTCCACTCCGCAGGGCCTTGGTTCAAGATCGGTTCAACCCAACATGAAAAAACATAAAAAAAAAACAAAAATGTTTTTTTTTTTTTTAATAACTGTCGCTCCTCGGCAGGCAATGGCAAACCTCCGAGTTTATTTCTGGAATGAAAAACAGCTTTTCATAAAAATACAATCGCCGTTCGGAGTCGGCGTAAAACTATAGGTCTCTCCCCTTTGTGTGACAACATGAAGGCGCACGCCTCAAATCGGAGCAGAAGCTCGGCCAAACAATAGCATATGTGTAAGCGCCAATCTATTCTTATTTACTTGGGATCAGCGTCTTAAAAAATTTTCAGATATGTTGAAAAAACTCACGACAGAACCTTTGCCTGTATATAATAAACAGTTTTTAGAATGCTAACTACTTACTTGTTATATAAAACAATGTCCGGTCGCCAAATGTGATCAGAGGGTACATGCAGCATATGTACTCCACCATATTCTTTAGGCTCCCAACGCAGTTTGTAGTCATACCAGGACTGAAAATACACATAGAGCGGAATAAATTATACTAGTTTTCAGTTAATATAACGCTACCTAACAAAGTTCTTAAAATTAGTGTGGTTTCGTACGTTTAACTGAGAAGCCGTTTGAAGATCTGTAGTGCTATTCTGTATATTTTTTACCCACTGACAATCGGTATCCCAATTTACGACAACCATGGCTTACGCTTGCGAAAAGTTTATTATGTAACAAGAAGTACCGAGAAAATTCATTTACATTTTTCATCGATAACAAATTCAGAAAATACGGCAATGTGTTTTTATACCCGAGCGCACTTGTGCACAAGTGTATTATCACATAACAGTTGTTTGTAACAGCCAAAACGAATCGAGATAGCTATAGACTACAGACAAATGTAAACATAAATGAAAAAAAAAATCGATTAAGCGGTGACTGTCTGTCCGTCCGTCTGTACGGACGATAACTCGGTATTTGTACTTATTTGAGCGTAGGACGGATGGTGTTTAACATGGATAAAATCGGGCAATAACCTCGCCTACCTGCCATACAACGGTTACTTTCAGAAATATGAAAACTGCGATATTTTAGTAACTACTGAAGCTTACTCACTCAAAATTGATACATACATACAATCATTTTAGACAAAAAATAAGAATGTTAAAAAAAAAAAGTTGACATCAGGACGATGCTATTTAGCCATCAACGTGAATCTTTCGAATATCTATTTTCCTCATTAATCATCTTATTTAAATTATAGCTTTCGTTGTTACATTGAAATATTTTTCGTTGTTATATTGAAACCAAAAGTAACCAAAAAGACAATATTGATCTCAATTTGATATTGTTAAGGATAAAACTTGCGCTTTTCCTCATCATATTAATAACCAGAATACAAATCTAATATTTTTCAGTACACTTTTTACATTATTAATGGTTATATTGATACCGAGAAATGATAGTGTTTAAAGTTTCATTTTAACACAACGTGTATTAAGCCAATAGTGATGCTTTTTTTTGATTATGTAGCTACGGCCACTTATGATTACATTTGTATAACTTGATAATCTAGTGCTGCCAGGTATTTAAGATACATAAATAAAATAAAATAAACTTTTTAACAATAGAGTGCAAGCGCGTGGCCTACTATAGTAGACCATTTTAGAATGTCAATAAATGTTTTCTTACATAACATTTAAATGGAACTTATAGTTAAAAAATTTAGTTAAGTCTATAACGTTTACGCTCACAAACTTCAATTTTTCATAGCAGCTAGGAATTTGAAAAAATAAATCATTTAGTTATGTAACAGAAAAAATAGGAATAATTTTACTTCTTAGATCAATGTCTTAAATTTTCTTCTTAAACCAATATTTTTCAAAGAAAAATATCAGTTTTCGTAACATTGAGTGCCCACCGCAGGCTGGGGATCTGGACAAATCCATTTTTTAAAAGTAGACTTAGAGTTCTGGTACAATAGGTGAACCGCCCAACTAAAATTTGGTATTACATCGTGCTGTACTTCCTGAGATGCTTGTAAGAGCTTTGCTATTCCAAATTGTGGTTGTTAGAGAAGTGTTTCAATGGACGTGCAGCGATTCAAAGCGGGTTTCAAAAAATCGAGGGACTATTCTTATTAAAAGTTATCCGTGAAATTTTTTTTTAGTATTTTTGGTTGATTAGGAGAGCTTCGATTGCAGCAATGTTCATCAAATCGAAAAATAATTTAAGTGGTTATCGGTGGCAGTTTCTAAGTTTCTATCCGTAAATTTGGACAACTAAGTTTCTGTGTCTATAAATTTCGACAACTCAGTAACCATTGATCAGTTTGAATAATTCGATACGTTGCGATAACTTAATAAGCATGGATAAATTTCGATAATTATAATCTTTGATGATTCGATAAATTTCAGTAACCTTTAGGGCTGATTTTATTTCTATTCCTATCTGAAAATTTCAACTCTGTTAACCTACTTCTTATGTATTTCTCATTGCCTCCATTTTCGCCTTTATCTCAATTTTCGTCTTTGTCTTCACTTTTGCCTTTTTTTTGTCTTCATCGTTATCACTTGTTTCTTCATCTTCATATTTATCTTTATTTCAAAGTTTAATTTCAAATACGAAGTAAAACAAAATGCGAAACAGCTTAAATTGAACAGGTTGCAAAAACAACCATACACAAATATATAGAAACTCTCCTCATCTACAAAATTACCTTTCCAATGGTGTTTGTGGTTTTGAAATCGGTAACTTTACCTTGGTCTTCATCTTTGTTTTTATCTTTCACATCTTTGCTTTTATCGTTTTCTTTTTCTACTCACACAGATGAGATGAGGTGCGACGACGTGATAAGATGTGACGTGATTTTATGTGATGTGATAGGATGTCATGCCATGTCACGTGATATCGTGTGATGTGATATCATATTATGTGATGTAATATCATGTGATGTCTCTTCATATCATGTGATAAAATGTTATGTGATGTCATGTAATGTGATCACATTCCATGTTCCGATTAGTATATCGATAAGCCTGTCGATAACTGTGTCGATAAAAATGCCGATAACAATATCCATATAGAAAAATACAACGATTGCAAAATCGATTAATCCNATGTAATGTGATCACATTCCATGTTCCGATTAGTATATCGATAAGCCTGTCGATAACTGTGTCGATAAAAATGCCGATAACAATATCCATATAGAAAAATACAACGATTGCAAAATCGATTAATCCATCGAAAAATATAACAATCATCAGTATCGATTATTGTACATATCTTTAACAAAATAAATGACGAAATCGATAACAAAATCAATTATTTAATCGATTATTATACCGATAACAATATCTATTATTGTATCGATAACAATATCGATTATTATATTGGTTATTATATCGATTACAATAGCGGTTATTTAATCAATAACAGTATCGAAAACAATATCGATTATTTTATCGATAACAATATCGATTATTTTATCGAGAAAAATATCGAGTTTTATATCGATAACAATATCGATCTTCATCCTCATCCTGTTCTTCATATTATCTTTATTTTTGCATATTCCTCTTCACCTTTACCTTAAAGTGTTAGATTTACTTTGATCTTCGGTTTTGCCTGTACCTCTAGGCATCTTTGTTGTTGTTTTTATTCTCAAACCGCTAAACCGCTGAGAACCATTTCCATGTGCATTATTCCCCTTGAATTTGGCAATTTACTCCCAACCAACCAACTGCCGTAAAGAAGTTTCACTTCATAAATTCAAGAAATGTTATTAGCCTTTCAGTTACCCTAATTCTTATGTATCTGTCATTGTCTACATTTTCGTCTTTATCTTCACTTTTGCCTTCTTTTTTTTTGGATTCATCGTTATCATTTATTTCTTCATCTTCATATTTACATATCTTTATTTCAAAGCTTAATTTCAAATGTGAAGTGAAACAACATGCGAAACATGTCAAATTGAACATGTTGCAGCAACATCTATACACAAATACGAAAATGTTGAAACGACGGTTTTGACCGTAATTTTCAACCAATTGTGAAACCATACACAACTCTGCTCATCTACGAAAAATTTCCTCCCCAACGGTGTTCTTGGTTTTGAAATCGGTTCGGTAGAATCGCCAAACGAACGGAGACAAAATTTATGTTAGCGTATCAATATACAGTAGGGAGTGCCAGTTACTGTCGAAATTCGACAGTTTTTCTAGTTTTTAGGAGCCTTGGAGAGGGTTTCTAACTTAACACGTAGCAAAACTTATACGGTACAAATTAACTTACCGGAAAATCTTCTGCTTTGGAACTAAAACGAAACTAAAATTTTTTTTATCTTAGAAGGTCTTTTAACTTCAGCAGGACTTAGAACTGACCCGATACATTCCACTTTATCGATAAATATGAATGACTTGATACAATCGATAGTTCGATGAATTTCAAAAACTCTAAAATCCGATAACTCAAAAAAATTCGTTAACTCGACTAATTTCGATAATTGTGAAATTCGATGGCTCGATAAATTTCGATAACTCAAAAATTTAAACACTTTGGATACCTTTATAAATTTTTACTTTTGTCATCTCCACATTTTTCGAAAACTATCTAAACATTTTGATAACTCGTTACACTCTGTTAGGACGTGTGTTAGGAGTGATAAATCGATAAGCTTATATAACCTTGAAATTTCGATAAATCGATATATTTTGAAAATTCCATATACTTCGCTTCGTTGAACCAACCAATTTCAGTAGATCAATAATTATCGATAACTCTGTAAGTTGAAAGAACTCAGTGCATTACGACACCTCGATAAATTTCGTTAAGTCTAAAATAATGATAATTCAATAAATATCGATAGCTTAATACATTTCTTTAACTTGACAAATTTCGTTAATCCCACATGTTTTTATAGCTCGATAGCTATCCGTAAATTTCGACAACTAAGTTTCTGTGTCTATAAATTTCGACAACTTAATAAACATTGATCAATTTGAATAATTCGATACGTTGTGGTAACTTAATAAGCATGGATAAATTTCGATAATTATAAACTTCGATGATAAGATGTGACGTTATTTTACGTCATATGATAGGATGTCGTGTCATGTGCTGCCATATTCTGTGATGTCATGTCATACGATGTCATACCATATGATGTCATATCATGTGATGCCACGTTATGTAATGCGATGTCATGTCATATCGTGTGATGTCAAGTCATGTGATGTCATATCATATGATGTCATGTCACGTGATATCGTGTGATGTGATATCATATTATGTGATGTAATATAATATGATGTCTCATCATATCATGTGATATAATGTGATGTGATAACATTATCCATAAACATATAGAAAAATACAACGATTGCAAAATCGATTTATTCATCGATAGATGTAACAATCATCAGTATCGATTATTGTACATATCGATAACAATATAAATTACTAAATCGATAACAAAATCAATTATTTAATCGATTATTATACCTTAAAGTGTTTTACC